GCAAGAGGCTTGGGAGTTAAAAGTTAAAGAATCACACACAAAAGTGGGATTGTCCCCCAGCTGCTCTTTGCTAAATGACACTCCCCCCTTTTTGGGAGATTCTCAAAGAAGGAAATTGGGGATAAATTTTTGGTTTGGGGTGTGCAAAAGAAAAAAATTTAAAAGGTGAATACGGGAAAAGAGTAAGGTTGAGGAAAAAAAAAAAAAGTTGGTGATAAAAGTTTGGGATATCAGGGGGGAGGGAGAGAGTTGGGGGAAAGGTGAACGTATAAAGGTTTTTGGGGAGTGGACCGTGTCGCGGGGGGGTCCTATAAAGATAGGTGAATCATAGAATTGAAAAGGGAAAAAAGGGTTGGAGGGGTGCTTTTTGGGATTTCCTGTGGGAGAAAAAGAACTTTGTCCTTGGGGGGCAAAAGGGGAAGTATGAGAGTATATTTTTACCAACGCTCTTATATGGGTGGGGGAAGGGGGGGTAAATGAATGTTGCAGCGGGATGGCTGGAGGCATGGAAAAGCTCTGGAGGGCAATGGTGGTGTGAATAAAAATGCGAGAATTCTTTAGTTTGGAGGAGGTGCGGGTTTTACCAAAACTGTTTCCAGGGGGCTGAGGAAGGGTTTTTTAAGGTTTTGGGGTTTCGGACATGTAAGAGAATGGAGTGAAACGAAGGGGACTTAAAGGGAGTGTACCCGGGTTGTAGGGGAAGGAAGGGGGGGAGGGCCGGCCTGGGAAAAGGGTTTTTGGGGGAGGGGGAAAAGGAGGTTTTGTGTCGGGGGCTTTGGGACTTCCAGCAGGAAAGCTTTAGCGTTTTTGATAGGAGTGAATGGAGACAAATGGTTTTTAAAATTTGGGAGTCCCTTTTGGATTGAGCAAAGTAACAAATTTTTGAAGGGAAATTTAGGGGGCCGGCGGCCGGACTTTATCCTGGGGATGGGAAGTACAGTGCCTGCACGTGAAGGGAGGGGTTTAAAATTTTCAGTTTTTAAAAAACTGTAGTGTAAAGCCCCCTTTTGGCAAACAGTGATGGGGTGAAAAGATGGTTGGAAAATTTTTTTTTTTTCGGGCCACCCTGGCCTTGGTGGGAAACGGGCCCTGTGATAATAAAAAAAAAAACTACTTGAGCCTGGCCCGGGGGCCCGGCTCGCTGGTGCTTGCCGGTCCCAAACCGGCTGTTGCTGCTGGGGGGCTCGCTTTCCCCCCCATATCCCTCACAGGGCCCGGTTTATCTGGCACCGGTGAAGATACTTGTCTAGGGTTTTCCCCTTGAAAGGGTTCAACACTCTTCCCCGCAGGGGTTTCTGATATCTACTGGTAAAGGTTTAAAATCTGGGGCCCCCCGGGGGTTTTAACAGTGTTCCCTTATTTTCCTACCCAAACCCCCGTCCTCAAGGGGGTTTTTTTACACTTCCTTCCCCTATCCCCTCACTCCAGTATGTTGTTTTTGGAGTGGCAGGGTTTGGGACCAAGCCCCCGGGTTTCCCCTTTCCCGGTTTTTTATTATCTTTTTCCTCTCTTCCCCATCCCGTGAAATACCGGGCAAGACTTGCAGGGTTTTCAGTTTTGTTTAGGTGCTTTACTGGCTCAAAGTGAGCTGTAAACGATCTCTTTTATTTTTTTCCGGCTCTGTTTTTTCTCCTGCCCCGAACGGGGCCCTCAGCACTGAGTAATAAATTTTAAAGGGGGGAGCCCCTTTGCGATTTGAAGAGTGTCACCATCGGCCTTGTTTTTTCCCTTTTTTTGAAAAGTTCTCAACACCCCCCATCTTTTTCCTGGGTGTCGTGATCTTTGTTTTGTTATGGTTTACTAAAATTTTTTTAACAGTGGTGGGTTTGGGGTGGAAAAAAGTCTAGGGGAAATGGTTTGTTTTTGCATTTCTTTAATAATAAGCGACTTAAATTTTTCCCCGCTTTGTAGAACCCGCAAATAAAAAAGGGTGAATGAAGTTTACCTTGTTGATGTCCACACATACTTTTATGTGGACTCTGTTTGGATTAGATTGGGTTTAGCATACAAAACACGTTGACTTGGTCATGCAAATTTCAACTTTTTTTAAGTTTCTTTTTTTGATTAGTCGTCCCGGGGGAGTTTTCTTTCATTTGGCATATTTGGGGTTTTATACTTGCAAACCCAAATTTCCCCCTTTTGTAACTTCAAAATTTTATTTTTAAAAAAAATGTCTTGACTAGTAAAAAGGAGTTTACAAATTTTTTGTTGCACCAGATCCCCCCGACTGATGAGCATAGAAAACCTTTTTGTTTGTAATCCTGAGATGTTTTTCCTACAACAGGGCGGGTTCGGAAGGGAAGAAGGCATGTTAAAATACCCATATTATGGTTTACCCCCAAGAAATAACCTGTTGAAATCTTCCTATAATTTTAAAAACCTTTTTTCTGGTTTTCGAAAATCCCTTAACACTTTTTATTTAAATGTTTTAAGTTCATGCACCTTAAAGCTGAAGAAAAGATTACCTTCTTTTCAACAATAATTAATGCTCAAACACATCACTAAAATAAATATTAATATTTTAATTAAAAAGAGATGGTAATTCTGAAGCAAAGACATTCCACATGAAATATCATTCTCTCCTTAGTTGTTTGATGAAGTGGAAAGTGCTTGTTGGTGTGTGTAGCTAAGTTGCCCCATTTTAAGATATATCATTACTTCTATGAAACAACACTGCAGCAGTGAAGAACAGTCATCTGCTTCACTGCAGGGACTCCATCAGTTATAGAATGACTGAAGAATTGCAGCATATTTTTGTTTAACACTTCGTAAAATTAGTTTAACACGGTTGTGGTGGGGGAAAAAAATTTGAGCTTGCGGTTGCTCGCCGGGTGGGTTGGTCTGTGGGTTACACCACTGAGTCAAGTCAGTTAGTAAATCAGTCAAGTCAGTCAGTAAGCCAGTCAGTAAATCAAGTCAGTCAGTAAGACAACCAGTCAGTAAATCAGTCAAGGCAGTAAATCAGTCAAGTCAGTAAGTCAAGTCAGCCAGTCAGCTGGTTCTTTTTAATTGTACAAACTGATGCTTCATTAAGGCCACTCTTAAGCTTATCTGACTTACTGAATGACTTGACTGACTGACTGATTTGACTGACTAAATGACTCTGACTTACTGAATGACTTAAAGTTAGACTTTTTCATTGAAGAGGACCCTGAAACTGTGTCTAGAGCAGCTGATGCCTTTGTACAATGTGCTGCAGGGTAAGATAGAACAGAAATCCATTACAGAATTTATGCACACTCCAGTACAACCATCGACTTCAGTACCAGAGCCTCTACCATCCACCTCAGTATGGCCACAGCATAACTCTCCGCTCAGTTCACTAAGGTATTTGAGGAGGTAGATCATGGTAATGAATATGATATTGTGTACGTGGACTTCAGTAAGGCTTTTGACAGGGTCCCACATCAGAGACTATTGAGGAAAATTAAGGCACATGGAATAGGAGGAGAAATTTTTTCCTGGATAGAGGCATGGTTGACTAATAGGCAGCAGAGACTTTGCATAAATGGGGAGAAATCAGAGTGGGGAAGCGTCACGAGCGGTGTTCCACAGGGGGTCAGTGTTGGGCCCCCTGCTGTTCACAATATACATAAACGACATAGATGAGGGCATAAAGAGCGACATCAGCAAGTTTGCCGATGACACCAAAATAGGCCGTCGAATTCATTCTGACGAGGACATTAGAGCACTCCAGGAAGATTTGAGTAGACTGATGCAGTGGTCGGAGAGGTGGCAGATGCAGTTTAATATAGACAAATGCAAAGTTCTAAATGTTGGACAGGACAATAACCATGCCACATATAAACTAAATAATGTAGATCTTAATATTACGGATTGCGAAAAAGATTTAGGAGTTCTGGTTAGCAGTAATCTGAAACCAAGACAACAGTGCATAAGTGTTCGCAATAAAGCTAATGGAATCCTTGGCTTTATATCAAGAAGCATAAATAATAGGAGTCCTCAGGTTGTTCTTCAACTCTATACATCCTTGGTCAGGCCTCATTTTGATTATGCTGCACAGTTTTGGTCACCGTATTACAGAATGGATATAAATGCTCTGGAAAATGTACAAAGGAGGATGACAAAGTTGATCCCATGTATCAGAAACCTTCCCTATGAGGATAGACTAAGGGCCCTGAATCTTCACTCTCTAGAAAGACGTAGAATTAGGGGGGATATGATTGAGGTGTATAAATGGAAGACAGGAATAAATAAAGGGGATGTAAATAGTGTGCTGAAAATATCTAGCCTAGACAGGACTCGCAGCAATGGTTTTAAGTTAGAAAAATTCAGATTCAGGAAGGATATAGGAAAGTACTGGTTTGGTAATAGAGTTGTGGATGAGTGGAACAAACTCCCGAGTACAGTTATAGAGGCCAGAACGTTGTGTAGCTTTAAAAATAGGTTGGATAAATACATGAGTGGGTGTGGGTGGGTGTGAGTTGGACCTGATTAGCTTGTGCTACCAGGACGGTTGCCGTGTTCCTCCCTTAAGTCAAGGTGACCTGACCTGACTAGATTGGGTGCATTGGCTTAAGCCGGTAGGAGACTTGGACCTGCCTCGCATGGGCCAGTAGGCCTTCTGCAGTGTTCCTTCGTTCTTATGTTGACTGACAAACACCAGCACCCACAATTTAAAGTAATAAATGCTATTATTTCTGTTGCGTTTGTAGTCTTAAGCAGTAAAAACAACATAATACATCACAACAATGAACTACAATTACATATTCCTTTTATTTTTGTAAGATCTGTAGGTCTAAAAAAAGTTGTTTGACTTTTTGGGGGCTCCCAGGTACGTAACCCTATTTTTCCCTAAGTTCTTCAGCTTGTCTAACACGATTTTGTCTAACACAGCATTTTTTCAGGAACGTAACTACCGTGTTAAACGACGGTCTACTGTATGTATGCAATACAAAGTCAAGCTGTAATAATGTGTTTAAAGTGTGAGAAAAATAACTCCCATTTTTGTACTTTACTGTGATTAAATAAAGTAATGGTTTTCTTTATTCGCCTTTGTTTTATTGAATAAATAAATGAGTCAGATATACATGAGACACAATGGTACAAAGGAATGCATTTGTTGTGACCATTAAATACAAGATATCTCAGACAGAAAATAGTAGTGTTCCAGTCTGTATACAAGGGAGTATAAAATGGGACAATATTGTTTAGGTAATACACAATATATTTTACCTCAATTTATATTACAAAAGAGCAAAAAATATATCACTGTGACTAGGTACAACATCATGCTTTTTCTGTTATGCTCAAAGATCCAAAAGTTTCCAATATTTTTGATCCGTCCATAGCATTGGTTCTGCACTTGGAATACCTGAAACAACAATAAAATAAGTATGAATATTAACATTATTATATAATTACATAACAAAAGCAATGTTCTTACAAAACTGATGAACAAAAACTCAGTTGTGTGATGATAACGTTCTCTATAATATTATGTGTTAATGTTGAAGTGATATTTAGGTTTGTGATGAATGGTTTTGAAAACCGACATGTTGAAGATTGGATGGACTCAACACATCGGGTCCAGGCTGAGTGATTGATTACCTCAAACTCCTCCTCTCCTTACACCTTTCTACTTTGTATTGGACTGATGAAGCCACTGTGTGGTGAAACGTTTCCTCAATAAAGATTCCCATGTGTTGCATAAGTGTCTCAACCTTGATATTTATGTTTGTTGAAGTTTTGTTTATATTGCTGAAATATTCGTGTAGCTGCTGCTGCTGCTGTTGTTATTAAGGTGAGTCATGAAAGGAGAAAGGCACTTAAGGAATCAATATATTTAATTAGAGAGAGAAATTGAAAAAAAAGGAATAACAAAAGCCAAAAGAAACCATGAAGTTAAAATTGCAAGGGATTCAAAGATTAACTATTCACTGGTCACATCCCCAGTCTGAAACTAATTCTTATGAAATGGTAGAGAATCTTTTTCCTGAAGGTAATGACACCAATGAATTACATTGCTGCAAACTTAGCAGTCTTGGTGCAATTTATGCGTCAGCAATTCTGCCCACTTTCGGTCCTATTTTAAGGCAATTCCATTGTTTCAGGTGATGAAATTCATAGTTATTTCATTAATATACCATCCATTTTAATAAATGACCACTTTATATGTGTATGCTTCTAAACTGTTGTATTCTGAGCACCTCTGCAAAAACAGTGATAATGTGTGAGTGTGGTGAAAGTGTTGAATGATGATGAAAGCATTTTCTTTTTGGGGATTTTCTTTCTTTTTTGGGTCACCCTGCCTCGGTGGGAGACGGCCGACTTGTTAAAAAAAAAAAAACACTCATTCAACTACCCAATAAAGTTATCAGAATTCAGTAATTTGGCCAATTTCACACAAAATTAAAAAGTGTCAATTTAAAAATAGTGTCCATAATAAACAATGAAGACATTGCTGGCACTAAAACATTTCCTGTGTTCATCAGTCACATCACCTGCCAGGCCACTTGCTTTCTATTTTGAATTCTTGTACATAAAAAAACAAGATTTACTCTGTTTCTTGGCTAATATATAACCTGGAAAGATTGTGGTTCACAGCATCCCAACAACTGAATCAGACTATTAAAAATCCATAAAACAGACTGGGGGTTGTAGGAAAGCCTTACCCATCCTCTAGAATATTGACAAAAACTGAATATTTCCACTACTTTGAGCTAAATTTCAAGCTACTTCCAGTCCCAAAACTAATCAAAATCCTCTCTATTTCAGTAATAAGTGTTGCGATGTGATCAATATTATGTAGTATTTTGATATATACTGTGTAATGCTGTAATGTGATGTATATTGAGTAGTGATGTGATTAATATTTTAAGTGCTTGTTTCGTATCCCTTGTGTGTCTTCCATTCTATCAAATGATACCAAGAAGTCCCAATAAAAACCAAAAAAAACCTCCAAAAATACACTGTAAAATCCTATTTTAAATCATACACAAGGCCCCAATTTTTTGTTTTTCCACCCTTTCAGTGCATGGGGGAGGAATTTTTTATACAGTGGACATCCCATACAACTCAGTCTTTTGATAATTATTTATTATTTTTTTTCATTATCACACTGGCCGATTCCCACCAAGGGGAAAGGGTGGCCCGAAAAGAAAAACTTTCACCATCATTCACTCCACACTGTTTGCCAGAAGGTGCTTTACATACAGTTTTTAAACTGCAAACATTAACACCCCTCCTTCAGATGCAGGCACTGTACTTCCCTCAACAGGGCTCAAGTCCGGCCTGCCGGTTTCCCCGAACACCTTCATAAATGTTATTTGCTCACACTCCCAACAGCCTCAGGTATTAAAAAACCTTTGTCTCCATTCACTCCTATCAAACCCTCACTCCGCCTGCTGGAAAATCCCAAACCCCCTTGCCACAAAAATCCTTTACCCCCTCCCCCAACCTTCCAGGCCGACCCCTACCCCACCTTCCTTCACTACAGACTGATACACTTTAAATCATTCTGTTTTTTGCTCCTTCTTCTAATGTCCCCCAACCCCCTAACAACCCTTTCCCAGCCCCTGGACAACAGTTTTGGGAATCCCCACCTCCTCCCCAAAATTCCAAACTAGAAATTTTCGCATTATATTCACAACCAACATTGCCCTCAGACATACATCTCCCCCTGCCTCCGCCTTCTCCTCCCCCTGCAACATTCATCACCAGCTTCACACCCATATAAAAGTGTGGGAAAACAACTCTCATACATTCCCCTCTTTGCCTCCAAGGAAAAGTTTTGTTCCCCCCAAAAATTAAATGCCTGCCACCCTTTTCCCCCTAATTTTTGGGCCCTTTTTATGTGTGTGTCCCTCCCTTTTCTGTTTCACCCTTCTTTTTCCCCCAACTATTCCAACTTTTAACCAATATTTTTGTTATCCTCATAACCCTTAACCCCCCTTTCCCCCTGTTTCCTTTTTAAATTTTCTTCTTTTGCAACCCCTAACCACAATTTCATCCACCAATCTCTGCAACTTCTCTTCAGAATCTCCCAAGAGTACAGTGTCATCAGCAAAGAGCAACTGTGACAACTCCCACTTTATGTGTGATTCTTTATCTTTTAACTCCACGCCTCTTGTCAAGACCCTCGCATTTACTTCTCTTATTATATTAAACAACCACGGTGACATCACACATCCTTGTCTAAGGCCTAGTTTTACTGGGAAATAATTTCCCTCTTTCCTATGTACTCTAACTTGAGCCTCACTATCCTCGTAAAAACTCTTCACTGCTTTCAGTAACCTACCTCCTACACCATACACCTGCAACATCTGCCACATTGCCCCCCTATCCACCCTGTCATATGCCTTTTCCAAATCCATAAATGCCACAAAGACCTCTTTAGCCTTATCTAAATACTGTTCACTTATATGTTTCACTGTAAACACCTGGTCCACACACCCCGTCCCTTTTCCTAAAGCCTCCTTGTTCATCTGCTATCCTATGTCTCAGTCTTACTTTTAATTCTTTCAATAATAACTCTACCATACACTTTACCGGGTTTATACTCAACAGACTTATCCCCCTATAATTTTTGCACTCTCTTTTGTCCCCTTTGCCTTTATACAAAGGAACTATGCATGCTCTCTGCCAATCCCTAGGTACCTTACCCTCTTCCATACATTTATTAAATAATTGCACCAACCACTCCAAAACTATATCCCCACCTGCTTTTAACATTTCTATCTTTATCCCATCAATCCCGGCTGCCTTACCCCCTTTCATTTTACCTACTGCCTCACGAACTTCCCCCACACTCACAACTGGCTCTTCCTCACTCCTACAAGATGTTATTCCTCCTTGCCCTATACATGAAATCACAGCTTCCTATCTTCATCAACATTTAACAATTCCTCAAAATATTCCCTCCATCTTCCCAATACCTCTAACTCTCCATTTAATAACTCTCCTCTCCTATTTTTAACTGACAAATCCATTTGTTCTCTAGGCTTCCTTAATTTGTTAATCTCACTCCAAAACTTTTTCTTATTTTCAACAAAATTTGTTGATAACATCTCACCCACTCTCTCATTTGCTCTCTTTTTACATTGCTTCACCACTCTCTTAACCTCTCTCTTTTTCTCCATATACTCTTTCCCTCCTTGCATCACTTCTACTTTGTAAAAACTTCTCATATGCTAACTTTTTCTCCCTTACTACTCTCTTTACATCATCATTCCACCAATCGCTCCTCTTCCCTCTCCCGCACCCACTTTCCTGTAACCACAAACTTCTGCTGAACACTCTAACACTACATTTTTAAACCTACCCCATACCTCTTCGACCCCATTGCCTTGTTCTCATTAGCCCATCTACCCTCCAAAAGCTGTTTAATCTTTCCCTAACTGCCTCCTCTTTTAGTTTATAAACCTTTTCCCTCTCTTTTTCCCCTGATGTTCATTTCCTTGTACCCATCTACCTTTTACTTTCATTGTAGCTACAACTAAAAAGTGATCTGATATATCTGGGCCCCCTATAAACATGTACATCCTGAAGTTACCAACAGTCTTTTATCTACCAATACATAACCCAACAAACACTGTCATTTCGCCCTACATCATATCTTGTATTCTTATTTATCCTCTTTTTCTTAAAATATGTATTACCTAAAAAAAAAACCCCCCTTCTATACAAAGTTCAATCAAAGGGCTCCCATTATCATTTACACCTGGACCCCAAAACTTACCTACCACACCCCTCAAAAGTTCTCCTCTTTGCATTCAGGTCCCCTACCACAATTACTCTCTCTCTTGGTTCAAAGGCTCCTATACATTCACTTAACATCTCCAAAAATCTTCTCTCTCCTCTGCATTCCTCTTTTCCAGGTGAAAACGCTTTTTATGACCCACTTCTGATCAACCTTTACTTTTAATCCACATAATTCTTGCTTTTTCACATTATAAATTTTCCCTTTTCTCCTTCCATAACGATCTTTAACTTACTGTACCCCTTCCCTTTTCTCAACTCCTCAGATACCCAGATTTAATCCCATTTTTTTCCCCCCCCGAAACTCCCCTACCCCCTTCAGCTTTGTTTCGCTTGGGCCAGGACATCCAACTTCTTTTTATTTAAACATCAGAAACTTTTTTTTTCTGTCATCTGCCCTACATCCACCACATTCAAGCATCCAATTTTTCAAGTTTTTTTCTTCTTCTTTTTTAGTAAATGTCTACAGGAGAAGGGGGTTTCTACCCATTGCTCCCGGGATAAATTTTTAGGCCAAATTTACCCCACCAAACTTGCTGATGACCTGAGCTCTAAAAGTAAAACTACGTGCATTTACTCAAAGTGAATATACTCAAGCACAAAACTAACATCTACATTTAATTATCTGATACTTTCTCCACACTTGTAAGTCATTGTAAGAACTCAGAGTTGACTTATGACAATAAGATGAGTAGCTACACTGACTACTCAAGGAATTAACACACACACTAATATTACTTTTTATTTAGTCATTTTCAACGAGATTAGATCCCAGCCTTCTCCTCCACTTTTAAAATTCAAGTTCAGTCTTACAAGAGACAAGAGAGGAGCAACTTACCTGTCAGCTATTTCCTTCAGTGCCCAAGTTGCTAGCTGTTGAGTCTCCTTCTTCTTCTGAGCACTGCACTTTGTTGATGATGATACTTGTGTACAACTCTGTGTGTAGGTAAACATAACAGTGAATATTGTCCCAATGTAACTACCATGCTATCTTGTGGTACCTCTAGTAACATAACTACCACACTACCTTGTGGTACCTCTAGTAACATAACTACCACACTACCTTGTGGTACCTCTAGTAGCAAAACTACCACACTATATTGTAGTACCTCTACTAACATAACTACCACACTAACTTGTAGAACCTCCAGTAACATTACCACACTACCTTGTAGTACCTCTAGTAACATAACTACCACACCACCTTGTAGTACCTCTTGTAACATAACTACCACACTACCTTGTGGTACCTCTAGTAACATAACTACCACACTACCTTGTAGTACCTCTTGTAACATAACTACCACACTACCTTGTAGTACCTCTTGTAACATAACTACCACACTACCTTGTGGTACCTCTAGTAACATAACTACCACACTAACTTGTAGTACCTCTTGTAACATAACTACCACACTACCTTGTGGTACCTCTAGTAACATAACTACCACACTACCTTGTGGTACCTCTAGTAACATAACTACCACACTACCTTGTAGTACCTATAGTAACATAACTACCACACTACCTTGTAGTACCTCTTGTAACATAACCACACTACCTTGTGGTACCTCTAGTAACATAACTACCACACTACCTTGTGGTACCTCTAGTAACATAACTACCACACTACCTTGTGGTACCTCTAGTAACATAACTACCACACTACCTTGTGATACCTCTAGTAACATAACTACCACACTACCTTGTGGTACCTCTAGTAACATAACTACCTCACTAACTTGTGGTACCTCTAGTAACATAACTACCACACAAACTTGTGGTACCTCTAGTAGCATAACTACCACACTACCTTGTAGTACCTCTAGTAACTGTGGAGAAATTTTCTCAAGGAGGGGGGTATCAGCCCCCTTCAGCCCCTTTCAGCCCTGAGGGGCCCAGACCTCTCAGAAGGGGCAAGCATCTTGTTTACTGCTACAGTGAGTAATTGATCACAGATGCCGTACGAATATGCGACGTGGTCAAGTGACCTCTGCTCCTTGCAGTCCAGTGTTGCAAAGTGTAGTTTAATAAGAGACAGTACATCTCTTACTTTAGCAGGACAATTAAGGAAAATCCTGCTCCCTCTTTATTAGCATAGTAAAGATAGGGGGCATTGTTGCTATCTTAAGACAGAAAGAATCAAACTTATCTTTGCTTCATCGGGGAAAGTGGAAAGGAAGAAAAAGTCTATTCAGCTTTTTTTTGTGCTGGGGGGTGAGGGCATGGGGCGCTGTGGCGCGTGGAATTATTTTTGATCATAAAGGTGAAATGACCCCCGGGATAACCAGCAAAGAACAGGGATCTGTGTGTTGTGTAACAAAGGTCTCATAAAAAATAAACATTAAGAGAAGTGTGATCAGCTTCTTTTTGTGATAAGATTGGAAAAAATAAGACAAACCCTGGGGAACTATTTGTCCAGTGTGCGTTTTTGGGACATGGAAGACGGGGCATCCAAGGACATTCGCTTCTATCAAGCACGGAACCCTTCGAAGGGTGAAGAACCCCATGCTCCGCTACAAAGAAGGTAGTTGAATTTCTTGTAGAAGGGGGATGCGGTTCTTGATCGCAAGGATTTTTGAATAAAACCATAGTCGGCGGGAAGGGGGGACTTTTGATCCAAAAAGATGTTTTTTTCCCCATCAGTAAATGAAATACTGAATAACACCCCTGGGGTAATTTTAATCTTACAAATTTTTTCTTGACACCCCTTTGTGAGAGGTTTGAAGTTTTCGACCTGTCTGCGGGGGCGGTTGTGCGGCGATGATTGTCTTTAATTTAAATTTTTCATGTTTAAACTTAGCGGGTAAACCCATTTTCAATATTGGTCCTTCGAACCGGATAAAGCCACACTGTGGTCCAAATATGTTTTCTGCAGGTAAAATAACCTTGAGCCAAGGTCCTTAAAAAAAAAGCTGTAAAATAGTGTTTTACAATGTAAACCCAGTATAATGAGTCCCCCCGACTCAATCACAGAGAATGGCACCCAAAAAAACGGGCGCTCACCCAGCTTCACCCAAAGAAAACTGGAGGGGTGACTCACCAAAAAAAAACCGGGGATGGTCCCGGCACCCACTGCCCCAAATTTCCCCAAAAAAATTTGCCCAAGACAACAAAAACCAAGTGATTTCGTTTGTCTAAAGTATATATACACATAGTGTTTATAAGTTTTAGACAGAAATTAAAAACAACATTTTTTTAAAAGTTTGTTTTTTAAAAGATTCCCTGTTATATTAAAAGGGAACTTATTTAAAAAAGTGAAAGTTTAAAAAATATATATTAACATGACATTAATAGTGTAATAATTTCAGTGTGATTACAGTTTACATGCTTTTATAGTATATAGTGAAAAAGTGTTAACATGTTTTAGTTAATCACGTGGTCGCTGCACAGAAAACTCAAGCCATAAACCCCGCCACAGTACTGTGTACCCTTCAGGGTCTTTGCCCCTGGGTTTAAAGCTTATGGGTCAGTTTTGTTGACCATTATTGCTGATTAAGCACAACAAAAATCAGCTGTTTATAGAGTACAGTTTTTTTTAAACACTCAAAGTGTGGTGTTTGAATTTTCAGTATCCTTTAAAATGGCTTGTTGAAAACTATTTTTCGTCTTTACGACTAAGATTACAAAATTAAAAAATTAATTTCGTTGTATAGGATTAATCAAGATCAAACTAGATTTTGTGATCTTGAGGTAAATTTTTCAATTATTTACACCCCGTTGGAAAAAAATTTAATTGACTATACACATTTGAAAAAGAATTTTTTGAATCGATCCATCTGAGATAAAATTAAAAAAATGTTTTGGATACATTTAGTAATCAACAATTAAGGGGACGGATACGGGCTATCTCCCGCAAAAACTTGTACAGAGACCTACTGTAATATGGTCAAACCCCTGTTCACCTGAAACCGTAACAACAAAAATGTCCCTTTACCAAGCTTCCCTACATTGTCTTACCTATTTTCCAAGGTCAAATTAAAGAATTCTTTGTGGGTTTCAACCCATATAAATTCCAAACTGAATAATAGTGCTAAGTTAAATATCTTAAATGTCTTTTTAAAGGGGAGAACCCCTTGAACTGTTTAAGTCATTTCGGGGGTTTAAAAGTTAATATCAAATAGCCTTTCGTGTTTAGCAGAAAATTATTCAAAGTGACAAGGCCAAGTTGACATGCAGTCTTAATAAATTTGAAGCCACCCAAACTGTTTTTCAGATTACAGGCTTTAGAATTAATTAGAAAATAGCTCAGTCTCTAATGCTAAAAGACCAAGGAAATGTGATTGGTTTATCAGGGGTATTTTTAAAAGTAAGTTGTCACCACAAACTTTTGAACGATTAAATATTTGTTCAATAAAGCTATTTCACTTGTGAGGAAATTAGCAAGGTTTAAAACAAAAGTTTCTTTCTGCAAGCAACGAGAAAAAGATGAAAAATCCAAATCCGGGATAACAAACCTTCTACCATAAAAAAAGAGTAACCTACCCCCCACTAAAAACTAAGGGAAACCCCAATTTAGGCTTTTATCGCTGTAATACAAAAACAGAAAAAAAAACTGTCGACTAAACGAACTCCAAAATGTGTACTTTGTGAGGGAAACACATTGGGACGTATGTAGTCAATACAATAATGGAGGCTGTAAACAACGTGTTCACAGCGGAAAAAGGTGCATAATTTTTTGGTGAACAAAGGGGAGGTAAATGCCACTGAAGAAGTGTTTTTAAATGCAAGGGTATCTCTACAGTTTATCCCCCAAATACTTTTGCTAAAACAGCAAAAGATTTCCCACAAAATCGGAATCAAAAGCAACGCTTAAAAATGGAGAGAAAAGTTTAAAGAAAAATGCTCTCCTGAAGCTAAATTGAGTTATCAAAAAATTCCCAAAAAAACCAAGTGCTAACTTTATTTGTAAAGGCTCACAAAGGCCCTTATAAAAAAAAAGGGTTTTGTTGCGAAACTGAAAAACAACCCTATGCCAAAATACAGTTAGAAATAGGGGTTTTTTTCCACAATTCGGGTTTAAACGACAATGACCAGCCGAACATTTGGTCTAGGAAACAGGAAAAGACAGTAGAAACTGGGGTTTAGATGTTTGCCTAAGTCTGGCAGACCAGGTATAAAAAAACAGTTGCAGCACTGAAAGCCGAAAAGTCAATTGCCTGTCTGACATCAGCGGACAAAATTGCCAATTGATTTAATCATTGGAAGTTATTTTTTCACTGTTTTGTGAAAAATATAGTAAAAAACTGGTTCACTTGCTGAAAAAAGCGGGGGCCCATGTATTGGTCCTTTCCCCTCTCAAAGGGGGAAAAGAAGTGATTTGATTCAGGGGAAAAATTACTGTTAAAAAAATAACCATGATCATGTCCCATAGCAAAATTATTTTTATGGAAGAAATGAATGAACCAGCGATAAGTTTTGGGATTTGATGGGCGAAAGGATTGAGTAAAAAACCCAAGCCACAAGAGATCAAAATTATAACCAATATTTGGACACTGTAAAAATATAAAGATGGCAGTATTGGGTTAGGTTACCATGGAAATTAAATCCACCCCCAAATTTCCTGCAATTATCGCATGGTTTCAGACAGATGAAAGCACAAATACATGATCGGGAAAAATCCCAAACTATGGTTTATGATAATTCAACAGAACATTGGACAATAAAATTTATTGAGGGGAAAAATACAAGATAATTTAAGCAGAAGCCATTATCCCCCCACCATGGAGTCAGAAAAATTCTGAAACCCCTCCACAGTGTTGTATATAAAATTTCAGCGCCCTGCAAAAAAAAGATGGCAAGTCTTAATGACTGTTGATACCGGGCCCCACTAAAAAGAAGCTTGGAGACGGGGTTTTGAAATTTCGCACAAAAAATGCCACACGGCTGTATTTCCCAAAGCTTTCTTAAGGTAGGACTACAAAAAATAGATAGAG